ACCTTGATTTTTGAAGATATTTCTAGAGTTTAATACTAATAATCATGTTCAAGTACAACAAATAATCAAATTTCTTATTTTTACAAAATATAGTTCAAGTAGTCTGAGCTTGGCTTATTATAGCACTTTTCTCAAATATTATTTATAAGCAAACATATATATATATATATTCAATATTATTATGACAGAAATATAACCAATGAAGATCCTACAATAATTTTTTAGTACAAAAATTTCTTATTAAAAAAAAATTAAATAAAAAGCTTTTTAAAAATCATTCAAAAAGCTGTCTCAAACGATGCCTAATACTTAAAATCACATGCGGCTTCAACATGAATTTCACTGATAAAAGGAAGCATGGATGAAGTTTAGAAGTAGATTGTTTTACTTGGGCGAAATAAAAAAATGATGAGAACTAAAAGCATGCATGAAATTCTCTATACAAACAAAGGATTTTGATAAAACCTCTAAAAAGTTAATGAATGTCTGATGAATTTTCTATATATGACATAAATTTCTTTCACAATTCTCACAGCAATATATCTTTCACAATTCTCACAGCAATATATCTTTCACATATAAGCTCACAAAGGCATTGCTTACACAAAATGTATTTCATTATCATATGATATCCTTTATTGACAATGGCATAAACTCATAATTACCTTAATTATCATATATGTGGCATGCAAGTAAGCTTTAATGGAGGTAGTAGGCAAGATGGTGATCGACATGATGGTGATTTTTCACGGTTGGTATGAATAAGACAAAATATGCACATAGCTCATCTTGATCTGTTGGGTGGGAGTTTTGGCTACCAACAAAAAAGTCTTTGGTTTGAAGCTTGTGTTTGTGAGTTTGCCTTAATTGACCTAAATATCCCCCAAAAAAGACAGTATGCCGAGAAGGCAAGGTAAATTGGGAAAGGCCAAGGCAGTAGCTAGGGCATGGGGTAGAAAAAATGTGAAGAATAATGAAGCAGTTTTAATGCACAGACGAAGACCGTGTTGATCTATATTCCAAATGAGAGAATGTTAGCTAATTCATTTATAAACTAAACTAGTGTGTTTTATTAGGGTTATGTTTGGATTTTTGGTTGTTTAGAGATTTCAAATTAGTAATACCTAGAGTGGGTATTCATATATCTTTATGTCTTAAAAAAATTATATTTTTACCTTATTATTGTACATATAGTTATGTTCACATATCATTTGAATTCTCGCATATTTTTAAAATTGGTCCTCTTATTTATGTGGCTTCGTTTGAGAAATTCATATGGTTTTTTAAAATAATTTTTTAATAGAAAAATTTTTTAAATAGAAATTTTTACACTAAAAAACTTCTTTAAAATATTTACATATCTAACACTTAAAACTTGAACATTACATTCTTATAACTCATATAAAATTTTAATATCAAATATATTACTCTTATATTTCATTCATACCACTCTCAATAAACTATAATATTTCATTCCATGCATTTATATTTGTTCTATGAGTGACAGATATGTAATATTAAAATTTTAAGTGTTAGATATGTAAATAGCATGATATAAAATGG